AAACAAAGCTTTTTATTTTCGTGGGAAAGAGTGGTAGGTGAAGAAGAAGATATACCTTTGGTTTTTGGTTCCAATATTTGTGGAACACAACAAACGTACTTAGGATTTAGTGAACAAGATTTGAATGGATTAAGGACCTTGTCTTCATTAGACGCCAAGAAGATAAAAGCGCAAAAAAAAAACTCTTCCATCTACCTTTATTTTTTCATTTTCTGTTTTTGTTAATTTATGTGTAGATTTTGGCTAAGCTTATGTATTATGCACCTTGTTTTATTAACTGAAGTTTCTAATCGAGTGGTTTATACTCTATACTAGTAAATGACACCGTGCAATAACTTTGATTTGAAAATCGATAATAAGCGAGAGTTAGTTTTACACGATACAAGAAAAAACAAACTATTAAATCCTAAGTACTTTTGTTCACTAAACTTACTTTAATCCTGGGTCAAACTAGCTTAATTACGAATTTTGTTTGGATTGAAATAGTCCTATATACTATTACTATACACCCTAGTAGATGGAAGATGGTAGTGATTTTAATTTGTTACAGTTAACTTAAGCATATTACTTGATAACAAACATTGTTTTACGACAGAAGCAAAATCCTAATCTCTAATTAATTAATCATATCATCATACGATTATAGAAAAAGGTCTTGAGACTATCAAAGTAGTGTGAATCTCATCTTGTTTAATAAGAACCTATAGAGATTTACTCGGGCCAACGCAAACATTTTAATGTTATGAATTGATCATCTGATGTTCGTATTATTGTGTGATTACTCTTCCAATATCTGATGTTATGATTGGTCATTCATATAGTTAATATATTGTGTGATTACTCTTCCAACATTTATAATAGTATTTTTTGGAAGGCATCAAAATGCTATTTAGAAAACAAAGCAAATTATTCCGAAAGTAACATCAAAACTAATGGAGTGGATATGAAGAAAATTCATTGGAATGCAAATGTAAGACGGACACCAACATGCAGGCTTCGCCCGAAAGCGACGACGCATTTCCTTGACGACAAAAGTTGAAGTTTTTTTTTTTAACCTTTTGCAAGTAAACCTTTTTATTTTAGTCGTTTACATACATGCCCCGATATTCTTATTCTTATATATGCCCCTAGAAGTTCTGAGTTCTTTTATTTTGGGAAATTCTAAAGGATTCGTTTTGAACTAGACTTTTTAAAACGTAAAGTTCAAACTTTTATGGAAAAAGAAAAACTTCCCACGTGTGTATTTGAGAGTATTATAACAACATGGACCACACTTTCGATTATAACACTTAACTATATATCTTCCTGGAACTAATCAACAGTCAAAATGTTGAGTTTATCAGATTTCCTGGAACTAATCAACAGTCAAAATATTGAGTTTATCATATTCCCACATATTATCGATAATATCACAAAAAAAGATTTTCATTCCTTCAAAACTGAACAACTTCGATTATGCATCCACTTTGAAAGTAGCAGCTGGCTGTTCCTTTTACTGATTCAATTATGATTTTTCATCTTCTATCTATCTCATTATAAATTTGATTGGTGACATAAAGAAATAAAAGTTTGTTTTAATAATAAAAAAATAACAACAAAAGATAGCAGAATAATTAAAACCATAAAATATTAACGGTACGTAAAAATAAATAATTACTATTTTTAGAACTTTGAATTTCTACGTCTTTTGTGATTGGTAACCATCAAAACGATATAGTAATTAAATTAATAACTCTTACTTATAGTTACATAATCAAATCATGTACGAATCCTTTATCCATGGATGTCACGTTTTGTTCAGAGTTACTTAATTACTGGTTAGAGCTAGTGTCATCGACGAATCTAGGAATCCTTCAAACTCTAGTCGACGGGACAAACATGTTGGAGATACAATCCAAGTCTCACATCGGAAGTTTGATGGGACAATCAATAATATATAAAGGGTTAGGGCCAATCCACTAATTGCCAATTGGTTTTTAGTTGAAAAGCCCAGAATTAGCCCAAATTTAACATGGTATCAGAGCCCAAGGTTCAAATTCTGGTGGACCTAGAAAAGTGGATACGGACATACCTCAAACCCGAGTAATGGGGGCCCGAGAAAGGGGCTTATTATCGGTCCGAGTGAGGGATCGAAGAGATGTGTTAAGATCCATGTGGTCCTTGGATTGAAGGGGAGATTGTTGGAGATACAATCCAAGTCCCACATCGGAAGTTTGATGGGACAATCAATAATATATAAAGGGTTAGGGCCAATCCACTAATTGTCAATTGGTTTTTAGTTGAAAAGCTCAGAATTAGCCCAAATTTAACAAAACATACTTTCAAAGAAAGGATTTGTTCATCAAGAAGAAATATATACTACTTTCTTTAGTATTAAACCATCTATAGAAATGATCTCATTTTTACTAAGTTATTTTTTCCGTTAGCAATCATTTTGTTTTAGCTGATCTTAATATCAGTATTTTTTCTGGATTGCCTTGACATCTCAAGTATTGCCGCAAATTACAATGTGGTCCTCATAAAATCCAGTAAATAAATTTGTTGTGAAAAGATTGGATTCAAGTTGTCGTTTGGCTGTAATAAAATGTACTTTTGCTTGCTTTGGACAACATTTTTGTTATACACTATGCTCAAGTTTCCCTCTCTAATCGAGTATTCTTGCTTTTTTCTTCTCTCTTGTATATAGAAATAATTTCCTTCATGATTCATTTTTTTTTAGTTTGTTATAGTCGTGCAAATACAAAGACAAAAAGCCATATATATATATTTACATATATACTGATATATGACCCATATATATTAACACACTGGACATAAAAGTCGACCATGGAGAGCACTTTTGCATAGACTAGCCCTTGCATCTTAACAATATTATAAGACTTCTGTTTACACATATGAATATATAGGAACGATCAGTAAATTTCCATACAGTTCTTCCGGGGGATTGCATTGTATCCTTTTTTGTAGTGTCTATAATATGACTTTTTGTGAAACGAAATGCTTGGAATTAATTGATTGAATGAAAAGGAAACAAAATGAAAAAGCACCATCTATAAAAATCTAAATCGAATAAAACAATAAAAAACGAATTAATGGGGTATTGAGAGAGAAAGGTGATGGGCAATGTATGAGGAACCACGAACACTGGTCTACTCGTAGGGTCGTTCTCCTTATACATTTAGATGCAACGGTCCAAATTACATAACATGCATAAGATTCACATCTCACGTACGTATCTATCATTTCCCAATTTAATGTCTTGTGGATAACAAATCCATGCGTGTGTATACAAACTACAAAACACCAAGTACTAACGCCTTATATATGTCTGGTGTGGTGGCCATATCGTATAGTATATAGAATTTTTTTTCATTCTAATGCATATTAAAAACTTGAAATTTGTCCTCACGTAGCAAGAGTTCAATAACTGTAACTCATGAATATAGGAAAGCCTCCATTTATCGTAAACTACGATTAAGGGTTACATATATATAATTATATTGTAACTCATGATTGGCCCAATAGTCTATAGTATAGAGCCCAAAAATCAAATGAATGATGGGACCAAGTACTAGAGGCGATGGCATCTTTTGTTGAGTTTATGCAGAGTTGCAGACCATCAGCAAAACCAAATCATTCGTTTCTGGCATCTGCCAATAACAAACAAACAAACTACTCTTCTCTTTTTGACAACAACAAAACGATACAGCAAATGAAGGAACTTTACGGGCTCTTACGCGCAAAATGTGGCCCGTTTGTTACATAATGGGCCTGGTCATATTTTTATACATAAAATTTGATTTTTTAAAAAGAGCCAATTCAATTCATTATTTCTGAAACTTTTCCTAAATCGAAATCACAGATGAAAGCGAACATGTCGTCTTCTTCCACTCGATGCAGATCCTTCTTCGTCTTCCCAATTCTCTTCGCCGTCGTGTTGTTTGGACTTCTGTTCCCCTCCTCCGCCGATAAGCGCCACGTTATCAACTTCCGATCGCCGGGACTCTACCCGGAGGGACTAACCTGGGATCCAAGGGACCAGCATTTTCTAGTCGGTTCCCTCCACAGCCGCACAATTCATTCCGTCTCCGACGCTGGAGTCATCGAAACCCTAATTTCCGATCTCGATCTACCGGAGAACGCCACTATCCTCGGCCTCACCGTTGACTCTACTAATCGCCGTCTGCTTGCGTGCATCCACAGTTTGCCGCCTCTCCCTCCCTTCAGTGCCCTAGCCGCCTACGATCTCCGCAGCGGCGGCCGTCGTGTATTCCTCTCTCCTCTCCCGTCGCTTCCCGGAGACGACGAAGACATCGCTCGTGATGTCGCCAATGACGTGGCGGTTGATTTCAAAGGCAACGCTTACGTCACCAACTCAGCGAAAAACTTCATCTGGAAAGTCGATCGCGACGGCGCTGCCTCGATCTTCTCGAGATCGCCGTTGTTCAATTCGCAGCCTGTGGCAGCAGACGCGGACGCAAGTTTCCGCGATTGCGGCCTGAACGGGATCGTTTACATCAGCAAAGGATACCTCCTGGTGGTGCAGAGCAACACAGGGAAGGTATTCAAAGTAGACGAAGATAGCGGGAATGCGAGGCTGGTGTTGCTGAACGGAGATCTGATTGCGGCGGACGGGATGGCGAGGAGACGGAGGGACGGGACAATCATGGTGGTGTCGCAGACGAAGCTTTGGTTACTCAAGAGCCAAGACAGTTGGAGCGAAGGAGTGGTATATGACGAAATTGACCTCGACCTCGAGGGCTTTCCGACGGCGGTGACGGTGGGGGAACGGGATAGGATATATGTGTTATACGGGAGAGTGATGGAGGGGATAATGGGAAGTTACAAAGAAGAAGGAGCGAGGGAATGGTTTGGTATAGAAGAGGTTTGGTCGGAGAAGGAAGGTGGGGAAGATAAGATTTGGTTATATGTGTTGATCGGATTTGGCTTCGCTTACTTCTGTTTCTGGAGGTTTCAGATGAAGAAGCTCATCACAAACATGGACAAAAAGATCACTTAGTCCTTGTATTCTTAGCTTCATCATCTTCACTTTTTTATTAACACGTTTTGTAAAAGGAAACCTAGCACAGAACAGCAGCATGTAGTGTTGAAATGAAACCTATTGATTGATTCTGACATTTGTGTAGCTAAGTAAACAAAAGAGAGAGAGAGAGCTTATTGCAGCAAGTTAGCTTCCACCACAAGAGGTGGAGGAAGTAGAGGAAATACTTCTTCTCTCTCTATCTTTTGGTTTCCTGACTTGTTGTTGGGCTCTGACTCTTTAGCTTTCGCCCTCAGCTTCTCCAGTGCTTTTTTTCTGTTCTCCTTTCTCCCTACTCGAGCTTCTGCGGATTCACCATGGAGAATGTTGATCCCTCCAAGTAATCCAGCCGCTAGATACAGCATAGTGTTTCTTCTGGAAACATCTTTGGAATCAAGGACTTGGAGCTTCTGGGGTTCCTTAATGTTTGCATCAAGTAAAGGCTGCCAAAGAAAAGGCAAAAAAGACCGACTTCAGAGCTCGGCACAAACTAACAAAACTTATGCTTGCAATGCAGACTTAATACCAATCTTCATCTATTGACCATAAAAACAGCAGAAGCAAGACCATTTGATGTGGAGGTCATAAACAAATGAAAAAAAATTGTCTGCACAAGTTTATGGCTTGACATTCATATATGTAGAAACCCTTTGTTGCCCAAAATTCATATGCACAAAAGAACTCAAAATCTCAACAGCTGAATTTCTGAAAAAAAAACAATCTCTAATAGCTAAACCTAAACTTAAAGGCCACGAATTCATTGACACACAGAGCACAACATATTTCTCCAGGAAAAGAAAACTAATTGGATCTTTGAAAGCTATTGTGCGAACCTGATGAGATCCTACACTTGTGGCTAAAATCACCCGGCGACGGGAAAATTTAGGTGATTCTCCGGTAATCGGAGAAAGTGAGATCAAAACAGGTGTCCAGATAGAGCACGATCTCGCCATCTCTCTTCTCCGGCGTCAGTAGCAAATCAGAAATGTCAATAAAATGTAAAATAATAATAAAAAATGATGGGTGTTGGGCTTTAAAACAATATAGGCCTCAAATTTGCCCATAAATGGGCCTCGTTTAAACATGTACATGTTGACTTCACCTGCAACCAGATTACAACAGATTTGTAGCAAAGAGAAGATCACATATTTTGTCTTCAACATGAACAATTTCCCGGAAACGGGCAGTAGCTACAAGAATCTTCTTCTCCTTCCTCAACAACGCCGCTTCTTTCTGGAACTCACTGATTTTCTCAAGACCAGACAACAAAACATTGTATGTTCCCAGCGAAGGCATTATCTCTCGCTCTCTCATCTCTCCTAATATTTTCATTGCTTTCTCTGGACTCCCTGCTGAGATGTAAACATCCATCAGTGCAGTGTAAGCAGCTACACCCTTTTGATCATCCGGAAGTAAGTCGAAAACCTCTGCGGCTAAGCGAGGTCTTTTCCCAAACCCCAGCCTGTGGATCAACATTGCTCCTTGGTAACAACCAAGCGAGTGTTGGGCTTTTAGCATTTCCTTGACCACTTCAATCACTTTAGGGAGCTCGTTTACTCTCAGAAAATGACCAATTAACGCAAGATGTGCTGACTTCTCGAGATGAATTCCCATTTTCGAGCTATACTCTAGAGCCAACGAAGCACCCTCTGTTCTACAACGGTCACAGTTTGTTTCTACGATTGCTGAAACAACAGAAGAATCCAACTTTATGTTCCTATCTATCATCTGGTTAAGAATAAGATCAACTGAAACCAGATTCTGCTTCATCAAGAGAACGGAGCTGATAACTCTACTATCATCTGAACTGTTAGTGTCATCAACTTCGGTTGTTGGAGTCTCATCGATGTCTTTGGAGCACAACAAAGATTCAGCGGAAATATGCGAGTTGACTTGCCGTAACAGATCATCACTTTCGCCTGCGGCTTTCAGGGTCTCTGAAGCTTCAAGAAAGATAGGGTAACGAAGGACAACACCATTCTCTTTCATGTAAACAAGAATTCGAGCCATGAATGATGTTTCCCCGAATTTACAAGCTTTCACTATCAGAATATTGCAAGCTGGTTTATCTGGCTGAACCCCAATTTCTTGCATCTTAAAGAAAATGTCTAAGGCTTCCTCACATTTTCCTGCAAATCAAATGAAGAAACTAAGACAAGATCATCAACAAGGTTACAAAACATTCAGATACCAGAAAACAAACATTTATTTTTAAATCATCTACAAAAAGCAAAAGTTGTGGATTTTCAGCTAGGCATTTTAACAAACAGTTGGTATGCATAGAACGAAGCTGACCTGTGCCGACAAGATACTCCATCAATACCGTATAAGTGTGACAATTCGGAGAAACACGCGACCGTAACATGTCCTTATACACCTCCGTGGCTTCTTCAACCCTCCCATCGGCGAAAAGTATCTTCATGTAAGCAGTGTACGATACGACGGTGGGTTCGCACCCATCATCTCTCATCTCCTCCCACAACCTCATTGCTCCATCCACATCGCCGGAACTTGAAACCCAGTGAATCAGCGATGTATAAGTCACCGTATCGATCAACACACCCTTCTCCTTCATAAGGTGAAAAACAGAGTACATGGATTGAATCCGACCGGCTTCACCGAAGATATCGAGCATGGTGGTGTAAGTGAAGTGGTCGTGTTTGAATCCCTTGATTTGAGAAGCCCAATTGAAAAAGAGCCAAGCTTTCTGCATCGGAGGATGAGCTTTCAAGACACGGTTGATAACGTGAGAATCCCATCTGACGCCGAGATGTGGGAGCTGCTCTTGAGCAGATTCCCAAGTGGAGTACTTGAGGATGTTATAGATGTTGGATACAATGTCTCTTGTGTAAACCTTTAGATCTGGGGGGCTCTGTGTTTTCACAAGTTTGGGTTTTTGGAAGAATCGCTTGGAGTTGGTGGGGTTTCTCGGTTTTGGACGAGGAAGAGCGTGAAGTAGCTTGACGGAGCTCCGGCGATTGGAGAATTGGATTGGGATGATGTTGCGGAAGATGGTAGAGAAGCGCATGAAACTTGCCCAGGAGAGAACCAAAATTCTAAATTCCCACTTTTTGTTTGAATAAAATCTCAATAATAATGAAGACGCCGTTTTATTCAAGTTATATTTTACTTTGACTAGTGTTTAGTCTACGCTTATTTGTTAATTTTATCTTCTTCTGAATTTTCCACGGTACAAAACAAATTCGTGGCACTAAAATGGTGCTAATTAGTTACTCTATAACACAAAAGGTTGTATAATTTATGTCCAAAACAAATTACACGTACGACTCTTTCGAATTTGGATCGGATACATTTATGTCTGAGAAGAGATCGAGACAATAAAAAAATGTGGTGCCTGGATCAAGGGCAAGTAACATAAGTGTGGGAAGAATAAACTTCTGAATGAGAAAGAGGGTTTAGTTTGTTGTGACAGAGAGAAGGCTGTGAAGGAGGAACCGGACCTCGTTGGAGCTTATTCTGCAAAGCAAACCTTCTTCCTATATCTTCCTTCTTCATCCTCAGCCTTGCCGTTGCCGAGGTTCCTCTTCATCCCACCAAAGCTATCAGATACATCACTATAATGAATTTCCACATGATCCTCATGATAATGCAAAAACTCGGTCTTGTCGGGATTAAAACTAAATTGAATGAATGGGTTAGTGTTGATTATAAGGAAACGTTGTATTAGCTAATACTGGATCTTTTGAGTTAGAACGGAATTAAGAAGATGGGAGATGAAAGCTTTGATAGAGGAAATATATAAAGATACATGGAGAGGGAGAGACAATGGTTTTATTTGAATGTTGTTTAATATTTGTTATGATCAAAAAGGGAAGTATCTAGTAGCTCAAGAAGGACGAGTTAAGAGGAGAAACAAATCATTGTTGGTAGAAGATTCATGAATAGTCAGTTGAGAATACTACAAAAGTTCAAGACTAGTGAAGAGGTGTTAGTAAGGTCAAGTATGTACTGGGCTGCAACAGGAGTGGAAAGGAAAGTTTTCAGGTTTTAAAGATGCTTGATAGTAGTGAAGACATATGGATATCAGTTGCAAGTTTTGGAAGTTCAGCAAGCAATGCAGAAGTACAAGCTCAAGATGAAAAGTTATTGAAGTGATTTCTCAGTGGATGTTCTCAGGAGAAGGTAAAAGACAAGTGCAAGGTATTTTGCAAAAGAATTTGTCTTCGGTTTATTCACTTCAAATACATTGAATTGCAATGCATAAAGCATGGTATAACAAAGTTCATCATGGGAGCTGGTTATTAGCAACTGAGAAGACATCCGGGAAAGGATGAAAATGCAGAGGGTTTAAACTGCATTGGGAAAGAAGAACAAGTAAATTTCCGGGTCATCTTTTAGCATCATAAGAAGGCTAAGGTGGAACCTTCTCAAGAAGACACTTGTAAGAAAAACAAGTGAAGGAACCGTCTGTTTCGTTTGTTTTGTTTTTGGCAATATGTGCGCTACATTGTTATCATGATTTGAAATAGAATATGAACATTGAGATACAATACCACTTACTGAGATAGAATGTTGAAAGATAATGGTAATAAACTAATAATACTGTAACTGGCTCTCTTTCATAAAGTAAAAATCCAAAGGTTTGCAAAGAGACTACAGGTAATCTCTCATATTAATCCTACTCAAAACCCAAAACAGAAGAATACTTTGATAGAAGCTTTAAGAAACCACTTCATTTAGCAGCAAAATGCTTGGCCTTTGTTGTGAAAGGCTGATTTGAACTTCTTGCCACAAAGAACGCTACTTATTGCATAGGTTTCCGTCTTGACGTTTTGTTCCTTTTTGGCCACCTAATTGCACATGTCAGTGGAAAAAGATATCAGTGCAAGTAAAACATAATTAAGCAACTGAGAAAAATAAACTAGACAGATGTATTGATACAAGAGAGAGAGGAGTTAAGAGGATGCTTACTTAGGCTTCTCTGCCCGCTCTTCTGGAGCTCCAATTAGTGGCCTCAATGACCAGAAATGCTTCGCCATTGCCTTCAGAATAGGCGAACCATTGAGAGGATCATAAGAAAGAAAGAAATTTGATCCGCTTCTCACCGTCTGCTCAACAAGGGCCAGATATCCTTTATCTCCAACAATGAGCAATACATTTCCAGGAACTCCACTCTTTATAGTTTCCTTTAACCACGCTCTCATTTCCTTCATGATCTCAGCATCAGCCACTTCTAAACCCTCTGTTTCAAGAAATAACACATAGAAATTCATTTTTTTACACATACAAAATAATAAAGAAAATCTATAGTTCTATACTATATACTTACCCTCTCCAACAAACGACAATTTCACTCCACTTCTAGGATTGTGCAGACATCTTTTAACGCGTTCTGAAAGTTTCCTGTCAACAGAGCCTATAGCTCTGATCTCGACATCACCAACATAGCCAAGGTTTCGGATTTCTTGTATGATCCTATGACCAACCTGGACTATGTATTCTTCTTCCATATTAGCGGGAATCCTTTGGTTCTCAATGTCCCACCACACCTTGGTGGGAGCTTTCATGGCCTGTAATCTCCGTTTTGTAAACAGAATAGACAGTTGATGCCGCCTCATCGCAGTGCAAGTGAAATTAACATTGAATTTCCTTTTGAAAGCCTGAAATGCGTTTTAATAAAAACCACAATCAGTTCACTTCTATTTCACGTTGAAGAAACTAGAAGTGAAATACCAAATTCATCAAACAAGTTTCTAGTTCTAACCTGCGGAATGTTAGAGACCTTATGGGCACGGTGTGTCTTTCTTTGCTTCTTTTTGAAATTCATTGACTTCGTTATATTCATGAACCTGATACAATCAAACCACATAAACTAAAATGTCATAACTCAAAACTGCAATTTTCAAAACAATTTGGCAATCTCAAATCAAACATATGAGAAGACTTGTACAAAACTCAAATTCCATAGCTCAAGTACCATGAAGCAAATGCAGATTAATAACCAAATGAAACAACACTTACGGATTCAACTTCATAGCGGAGCAAATTAGAAGAGAGAGAGAGATAGGTTGGTATCACATTTAATTCTAATATGTTCAAATTTCACCATAGAGAAACAAATTAAGGGCCCGTTCTATTTGCAGTTCCACTCAAATGTCAACTTTATTAAGGGCCAGTCTGAGCTATAAACGCACAACTTCACAAAACCAAACAGAGGGAATCCCTAATTGATTCGAACAGAGGGAATCCCTAATTACCAAACCCTAATCTTTATTCAACAGGGAAAAAGCACAATCCATTAAACGGAATGGAATTAGATCTGGAATCGAAACTGAAATTACCTTTGCAAGGAGAATGAGAATTTAAGTGAAGACGAAAACTAGATCTGAACCGCCGATACTATGCGTGTCTCGAAGGTGAAGACGAAAATTTGAAGAAGAAGAAGAAGAAGAAGAAGAAGAAGAAGAAGAAGAAGAAGAAGAAGAAGAAGGCCAAAAGCAAAAAGAAGAAGAGAGATGTGATTTGTAGTGTGAAATAAATAGTAGAAGAAGGCCAACGAAATATTAAAGAAATGATATTAGGAATGTTTCAATTAATTATATATTGTGTTTTGCGAAGAATAATAAATTAAAAAAGGAAAATAAATGACAATTAATATACCGCTCTCTTCTATTTATTACTTATTCAATTCTATGACTCAGTTTAGCTACTAATCTATATATAATGGGAGAATTGAAAATAAAGGATATGTTATAATACATTATATTGAACTTATAACCGGGCTCAATAAGCCCATCAGGGTAAGAAGAATTTCAAGTGAAAATTTGGCTGGGCTTATAATATCATTAACACTTGAAGAATGAAGTTATAAGGCCTTAAAGTTACAAAGTCTTATATGGGCTTAGACATTATATCCACTATGTTATGAACCCCGCGATATCGCGGGGGAACTCATTTTTCAACAAATATATTTGATTGTGTTTATGTATTAAATTATTATGATAATTTATTCAAAAATTTGAATTATTACATAAAATTAACTATGTTTTAACGTAAATATTTTTCAAAGATGTTAAACAAATTTATGAATAAAAATGAAAAAAAAAAATTATGATTAAAAATACTTTTGAAACAATTTTTGCGAATGTAAAATTATTTATAAGTGACAAAATATATCTCACTTTCGACGAAAAAAAAAGGTGACAAAATACATAACAAATAGTTATAATATTGAGATAAAAAATTTTAGCCGGTCAAAACCCAAAAATTCAGATGGAGTCTGTACTCAGCATGACTTGTAGGTGACTAAGAACTTTGCTCGAGAATTGGTGTTTTTTGTTTGTCCATTGTTCTTTTAAATATAAAATTAATATTTATTTATTATATATATTCGAAAGTATATAAAATTTGATGATTTAAATTACATCTATAACAAACAAATAAATATTTAAAATATCTCATTTATTTATATTTAAATTAACGAGTAATAAAACTTCTCTCTTGAATATTCATGTGACGAATTAGAACCATTGTTTTTTTCCTAATAACGGAGATGATTTCTGGATTACTATACTATTTGAAACGGTTTATTTAATGATTACCACATTCAAAGCGTCCAATCACAAGCGTCACATGAGGATGTCTTCTCATATTCCGACTTTGTAATAGTGCTAACTCAATATCAATATTTCGTTGTATACAATCCATATATATTGCTTTAAGATAGAAAGCATCATTGTTACCATATAAAATAGTTAAATAAAAAAAAATTACTGTATAATCCGTCAAATTCTAAGAAAAAAATTGTTGGTATTTTCATTATAATTTTATATTTAAAGTTGATTAAAACTTCCCCATTTTTATAATCACTCCAAAAAAATTTAGTTAAATGAGAAGAATTTTTTTAATATTAATATTATGTATGTTTAGAAATAGTTTAGAGAATAAATAAGTTGGAGGCATTTTACAGATTTTTTTTTGGATTTATCATGAAACAAATAATCTATATTAAAGAACAAAAGTTTGGGAACTACTTAAGAAGAAGGACAAATACATAGAGTTCAAATGTCACAAATACTTAAATAGATAATTATTCATACAAAAAGTTGTGACGAAAAAATACAATGAAATATAGTGAAGAGACGTAACTTTAAATGAATAGATGCAACTATAAAGATACAATCGTAAACTAAAAAATATATGACTATAATTTAACAAATAGAACAGTCCCAAAAATGTTTCCGTCAATATTTAACGAAAATATACGATAAAAAGACACAACTTAGAAAAAATTACCGTAAATATTTTACCGGAAAGTTGCGATAAAAAGACACAAATGAAAAAAGTTACCGTCAATATTTTAACAGAAATTTGCGATAAAAAGACACAACCAAAAAATAGCCGCCAACGAAAAAAGTAACTGTCAATATTTTAAAGAAGAGTTGCGATAAAAAGATACAACTAAGAAAAAATAACCATCAATATTTTTAACGGAAAGTTGCAATAAAAAGATACAACAGAGAAAAAATAATCGTCAATATTTTTAAAGAAAAGTTGCGATAAAAAGACACAATCGAAAAAATTAACCGTCAATATTTTAACGAAAAATTAAGATAAAAAGACACAGTAGAAAAAATCAACGAAAAAATAACCGTAATTATTTTAACGAAGAGTTGCGATCAAAAAGAGGCACCCAAAAAAAATAACCGTCAATATTTTAACGAAAAGTTGCGATAAAGATACACAAACGTAAAAAGTAACTGTCAATATTTTAACGAAAATTTACGGTAGAAAGACACAAAAAAAATAACCGTCAATATTTTAATGAAAAGTTACGATAAAAAGACATAACAAAAAAATAACCGTCAACTGAAAGAGTAACCGTAATTATTTTAACAAAGAGTTGCGATCAAGAAGACACAGCCGAAAAAAATAACCGTTGATATTTTAACGAAAAGTTACGATAAATAGACACAACAAAAAAATAACCGTCAACAGAAAAAATAACCGTAATTATTTTAACAAAGACTTGCGATCAAGAAGACAAAAACGAGAAAAAAATAACCATCAATATTTAACGAAAAGTTTCGATAAAAAGACAAAAACATAAAAACTAACCGTCAATATTTTAACGAAAAGTTATGATAAAAAATACACAACCGAAAAAATAACCGTCAATATTTTAACGGAAAGTTTTGATAAAAAGACACAACCGAGAAAAATAACTTTTAATATTTTAACGGAAAATTGCGATAAAAAGACACAACCGAGAAAAATAATCGTCAATATTTTAACGGAAAATTGTGATAAAAAAAGTCAAAAGAAAAAAGTAACCGCCAATATTTTAACGGAAAATTGCAATAACATAACCAAAAAATAACCGTTAACAAAAAAATAACCATCAATATTTTAACGAAGAGCTGCGAGAAAAACACAACCGAAAAAGTAACCGTCAATATTTTAACGGAAAGTTGTGATAAAAAAACACAACCGTTTAGAAGTGTAAAAAAAAGCATAAATATTTAAACGAAAGGTTGCAATAAAAAAACGCAACCGTTCAGAAAGTGCAAATGGTATTTATTGGAAACGACATAACCGTAAAAAAATAACCGATTAAAACGAAAATTGCGATAAAAAGCCGCAACCAAAACAACCGGAAAAAAATAACCAATTTATACGAAAAGTTGCGATAAAAAGACGCAACCGTTCAGATGTGCAAATGGTATTTATTAGATTGCTATTATATATATATTATGCAGAAGAAAAAAATTATCACTATTATAAGTAGCATTATCCATTTTAGATTATTATATTTCCGTTTAGGAAAAAATTATCATTATATTTCCGTTTTAGATTAAACACCTAACAATGGAGTTTTGGGGTAAGAGCTATTCTTTGTTAGCATATTTCGATTCTGCGTTCATTCTTAACTGCAAATATCTGTTGAATCATTCGTTAATTTAGTCTTTAAATATTAAAAGATGTTGATTTCCTATCCTAATTTCATTATTAGAAGTGAAAGTGAAGGCAAGGGAGTCTTTGAAAGTTTATGTTTGATTCTGCCTTCATTTGTAACTGCAATTAGTGTGAAGTTTATGTTTGATTCTGCCTTCATTTGTAACTGCAATTAGTGTGAAGTTTATGTATTCTTGTTCTTCATAAACATCATAAACTATAATATTAGGAGCGATAGTGAAGGCAGGAGAGTGTTTAAAAGTGGAGGCTGGATTCCACAAGGTCATTCACCTTTCTCAGGTAATTTAGGCTCTTACTTTCCCGATCATGAAAGCATACTTAGATTCTTGTGAAACAATACAAATTAATAGAATGACACTTGATTAGAATGAATTAGATATATGATTCTGTGAGGTGGGAAAGGTTAATCTGGAAAATAGTAAATGGGAAATGTAATCTGTCCAGTGTGTATGGTACAAATGGTATGTAATGTGTTGGCACTTTTCAATTTTCATATTATTAATTTGTAAAGCAGCAAGCTAATTGTCTTACTTCTTAACTTCTTTCAGTTTTGTTTTTCCGGTTATAGAAGTATTGGGCACACGAGCATTGAATATAATTCATCTCTTAAACCAAGGTTTATATTCTATGGGACTCGTACCACCACACCTATGTAACATGTTTTCATCATGTTGGCTCTTATATCACTTTTCCTATGGCAGGCGTCCAGGTGATAGTAGCGACAGCGATTTCCGGGATTCAAGTAGCGATGTCAGCAGCGATAGTGATTCTGAACGGGTTTCTGCTAGTCTGGACCATATCTCATTGAGAGATCAACATCAGGAAGATTCATCCAGTGACGACGGCGAACCTATAAGCTCTCAGGGTAGTTTGATATTTGAGTATCTTGAAAGAGACCTTCCATACATCCGCGAACCTTTGGCCGACAAGGTTTGGGCGTTCATTTCTCTACTAGGACCCCACATAATATAACGAAAGCATGCCCTAGATACTAAATACTCATTAGAGGATTCCTCCCAAATACTAAGACGATTTGATTGATATTATTGATCTTTTTGCTCTTTATATCATTTATCTTATCAGGTAACTTCAAATTTAAAAACTAATGCTTAGGAAAATGAGAGTTGGTTGATAACAACCCGTTAATTTTGGTCAACTTGTAGGCTATCTACTAATCAGAAATGTTCAATCTGCTCAGGAACTGGTCATCGTCAACTTAAACTAGACAGTCTAGACCACATTCTTTTCTTCTTGTTTTAGTCATAAACTAGACCACATTCTAAATTCACGAAAAAAGGGAACTTGTGTGAGTCTATGTTTATATTCGGCTCCTCCTCATGACTATTGCCTGTGTTGCAATACAGGTCTTTGACCTCGCAGCTCAATTTCCCGAGCTGAAGACGCTGAAAAGTTGTGACTTCCTTCCGTCAAGCTGGTTTTCTGTGGCATGGTATTGTTGCTTGTACTTTGAATGCAGTTGCTTGCTGCCAATATTGTTGTTCATGTCTTTGAGAATCCATTATATTATATACTTTGCAGGTACCCAATTTACAGAATACCCACAGGACCGACACTCAAGGACCTGGATGCTTGTTTCTTGACGTATCATTACCTACACACACCGTCTGGAGGTAAAAAAGAGCTGTTTATTCCATAAAACAATAAGCTGTAGATTTACATGGTGCAATTGTCAGGGGAAAACTTGCTTAGCAATTTATCTAATCCATGGTTCGAACCTTTGGAAACTTGAAAAGTATACTTGAGTGGATGCAAAATGTTCCAATCTTTTATTAACCTGTGTCTAGAGTAGCATCATTCGCCTATCGATCAGCTTGACAACATAACTAGGTGTGTGGTCACCAGAAGACTTAGAGACAGTTACTACGAAGTCAAATTTTGGTTGAAGGATATTACTTAGATAGATCTACTCACAAGGTTCGGCTGTTGTAGGTGAAGGCAGTGCACAATCAATGAGCCTTACGCAGCCAAGGGAGTGTCATAAGATGTCATTGCCTGTGTTTGGGCTCGCTTCATACAAGTTCAGAGGTTCTTTATGGACACCCGATGGGGGTTTGGAGCACCAGCTCGTGAACTCTCTGTTCCAAGCTGCTGAAAAGTGGTTGCGTTCTTATCATGTCAGCCACCCTGACTTCCTCTTCTTCTGCCGCCGTTGAGTAGGATATTAAAAGGAAGTTTCGATAAGGAAAAGTTGGAAAAGATATGAACTTGTGAAGCACTTTGAGGGAGTTTTAACAATAAACTCAAAACTGTTGATATGGGTTGCTGTCAGACTGAGGTTTTAAAAGGAGTTGCTTTTTTTTATTTTTTTAAATCTGTAAGTTATATAGAACGAATTTTGTTTGGTCAGATTATGTATGTGAACCCTGGGCTAACCGTTTTGTTGTATACCAATACCATGTTGTCTTACAATAGAAACTTTTGGAGTAAATATGAATGTTCAAACTATTATCTAACGAATTGGTTGACAAGATAAAATGGCATGCCAATGTCACATGTCAGGTAACCTGATGATGGCCATATCTGTTACAATCTCTATGAGGATGTTCCACGGCTGCAGGATCTTTCCCTTAACTTTACAAATGGGGGCCTTATCAATTTGAATCACGAATAAGATATCGAGCCGTAGATAGATTCATGGGCCTTTCTCATACGGGCTTTATTATTAAGCATTAAAGATAACGGGCTCGTGAAGCCCATTTAATTCTAACTTAACCCTAATTTGAGAGGCATATATATAATAGCTCATCGCCGCTGAATTATTCGCCATCCGTTCGAATCTCGTCGAGCTCCACAGAGGTTAGTGTCGTCGATTCTCTTCACTCTTGCGACAATGGAGTTCTGGGGTAAGAGCTATTCATTGTTAGCATATTTCGATTCTGCGTTCATTCTTAACTGCAAATATCTGTTGAATCATTCGTTAATTTAGTCTTTAAATATTAAAAGATGTTGATTTCCTATCCTAATTTCATTATTAGAAGTGAAAGTGAAGGCAAGGGAGTCTTTGAAAGTGGAGCCTGGATTCCGCAGGGTCATCCTTTGTCAGGTAATAATTTTCAAACTCCTTAGGATCTTTCTTTATGAAAGCATACTCAAATTTTGTTTTCTCTATGTAGGCCTTTTTCGGTAAAGATGTCCGTAAAGGTATAAACGATGGTCCGGTGTACTTGTATGCCAAGGTTAATGGCAAGAAATACGTTTTGGCAATTCTTTCCCGAAAGCATTTTCCTCTCATTACCTTTGATCTCATCATGGAGAAAGATTTTGTGCTTTCCCACTCCATGGATGAAGGAGTCATCCATTTAACTGGCTACAAAACTCCACCTGGATACAAAACTCCGGAGGTGGAAGAGGAGGAGGTTGAAGCTAGGTATGTCAAGTCTAAAACGACGGTGTGGTGGGACATAGAGAGGTGTCCGCTTCCCCATGTTTATGATGCTTCCCTTGTCGGTCCGTGTATAGATCGGGCGTTGCAGTATTTAGGCTACCTTGGTCCAATTTCCATCACTGCCATTGGCAACCTAAAACACACCCCTGATCACGTCTTGCGAGCACTATCTTCCTCTGGGATCCTTGTTAAACACGTCCCAAACGGTTAATCTTCTTATCTCTTTTCTATAATTAGTCTTTAGATTCAAACTGTAGCTTAATCTTGTGTTGCGATTGAGTTGCTTTCCTTTTACTAAAACAGGTACTTCGAGCATCTTTGCTCAATTGTTTGCTTGGAAATTACAAAGTCGACCTCCGGCTACGTTTATGCTCATATCCGATTCCCCTGTACGGTTCGATTTGTATCACAGTCTTGAATCCCTACAAGAGAAAGGATACAACATCCTTGTTGTATATCGCCATAAACCCCAGCCTGGAATGATCACTTCTTTTGAATGGTTGCTCTGGGAAAGCTTACTGGCAAATACTTGTAATACACAGCTGACAAGAAAAAGGCAGCTTCTTCAAGAATCTGCCCGTTTTTCTTGCACACTATGCCATGTAGCTTTCCAAAGCCGTAAATATTTCGAAACTCATCTTAAGGGTGAAAAACATGAAATGAATGTAACGCATCCTTTTGCCTCCTCTCTTCTTCTTTTATCATCTATACATTTGCCTCTTATCTACACCATTCAAAGAAAATATCTAATTTGACTGCAGGAATATTTACTTGGGCCTGATTCCCCCTTTCTGGAGTTAAATATTGCTACCACGATGACGGAGCAATTAAAGGCAAGTAATTTGATTGCTCTGAAACCTTTTTATTATTTTTATTTTTATAATAATTAACCAGACTCTGGTTGATCATGCCAAAACACTGTAGACAACGTTGGAGAATGTGGTTGTTAATCCTGGAGCCGATTCTTCCCAATACAAGGGGGTGGTGTGGTGGGACATCGACAGATGTCCGGTTCCCAATGGTTATGATGCTTCTCTAGTTGGTCCGCGTATAAATCAGATGTTGCAGAGTTTTGGGTTCTATGATCCTCTTACCATCATTGCCATTGGCAGCCTAAGATACACCTCTTCTCACGTCATGCGAGCGATCTCTTCCAGTGGAATAGTTTCTAAACATGTCCCATTTGGTTAATCTTCTTTTATCTCTTTCTTTCTACATATTAGTGTTTAGATTTGACTGCGGTTTTATTATTATTATTCATAAGATAGGGTTTGGATTCAATTGGCAGTATTTGAGTTGCTTTCCTTTTGACTGAAGCAGGTGGCCCAAGCATTATTGAAGATGTGTTAACTTGGGCAAATACTAATCCACCTCCGGCTAAGATAATCCTTGTAACCAGTTCCTCTTTAATGGAATGCATGTCTCCTGCTCTTTATTCCCTTGAAGAGAAAGGATACAACATCCTTCTGGCATGTACACAAACTCTGCCTGAAGGTCTTAACCGTTATGTTAATTGGCGCTGGGAAGACTTACTGACAGGTGTTTGTCCTCTTTGTTGACATAACCCTGTTTTCTGAGCTAATTGTAGTTTTGTTTCTCAACTCTTTCTATTTCTTTTCTCCACCATATGTAATAGTTCCTTTAGGTAATAGACCCGAGACAAGAAGACAGAAGGATGAATTATCTAGCTGTTTTATTTGCACAACCTGTGATTTATCTTACAAAAGCTATGAAAGTTTCGACATTCATATGGGAGGAGACGAACATGCAATGCGAGTAAGCATCCTTACCTCCTCTCTCTGCTTGTGATTGATCAACCTCTTATACTTACTTGATGGTTTGTCAAACAGGCATTTAGAATTGGCTACTACTACCTGAATCAGGAACCTGGATCCGGGACTCGTTATTCCCCGGCAGTGAAGAAGCTATCAAAGGAAGGTCTAAATATCTCAAGTTTCTTAACTAAATTAATGAGTGAGTTTATAAAATCAAAGTTGAATAAACAAGTAGATGAAGCCGGCGTTGTTGGTTCTGACAGTCTGACCACCGCCACGGTGAAGAAGCAATCAAAGGCAAGTTTTTAATACATCTCAAAAATAATATCTGATTTCTTTGAATGCATACAGTTTGAGTTGCTGACTTTGGTTTGATGCTAAAACGTTGCAGAGAAAGTTGAAGAAGAGGCGTATCAAATGAGAGCATCTCGAAGAAGAAGAAGAAGAGTACATGGCACATGCACGTGGTGTGTTGTTGTTCTTCTCTATGGCATCATTTCAGATCGTGAATGGTTTCTTTTACTTCCCAACGAACAATGTTGTTTTAAATCACTTTCTTTTCATTCAAGTCTCGTTTTTACTTTTAAAGTTAATTTCAATGAAATTAAACCTCAAATAGAGGGAATATGTTAAGTGATAGTATTATTTAGTATTTTTAGAGTCTACTTAGTATAAAAGTTAATCCGTGCTATAGCACAATATATATAACTATAGGTTATAGAACAATGATCTGTCTAGGGTTCAAATTGTTAAATCAGAGTTTTGTTAGATAAATTATGGAGAAAGGATTTGATTGAAAACTTTTTTTCACTTCACTTTCCTAGGAGTTTTCACATGCATCGTCATCATCACCTTTCTTTTATCATTAGCATATTTTAATTAATTGCACACTACTTCATATAATACGATTAACTTTATCCGAAAGAGTAATTAAATCTAAAATTTAAAGCGTGTCTCACGAGAGGAAAAAACTGAAAAAGACAGGGTACATGGTCTATTTCAACCTGTACAATTTTGATCGTGCTTTTTCCTACTCCAATTTTGATGCAGTGCTGATTCCAACCTGAACAAAACAATTTTTCAAATAAACTACACGAACTATCAAAAGAATGCCAAAATCAACATTCACGGTCAACTATGAGTCCAAAATCAACATTGACCGAAATGGTGTTGGTCAACTATGCTGACTCAGATGCTATGTGTACAGTTTATGCTGACTTAGATGCTACATATACAGTTACTGCTGAATTAGATGTCATGTGTCAAAAAAGTTGGTTTAAAAATAAACAAAAATTACAACCAACTTTAAAGACAAAATTATTTTAAAATCATAACCCAAGCGAAACAATAATTGAATCAAGTTTTTATATAGATTTAATTGAATAAATAAACCAAATTAATCGTTAAGCAATTTGAACTTTTGTTAAGTTAATGTTGTTACCTTTAATCCTAACATAAATTTGGTTTTTAGGTATCTTTGGTCCAAAAAGAAAAACTCTACCCTATATATTTACTATTTTACAAAATTATTTTTAGTTGATTTAGAGAAATTAAAACTTTATATATTTGGTACTAATATAAATTGTAAATACTAACACATTAAACAAATTTAGTCAAATAGGTCTATGAAGACGATTCGCTCTTTTTTATGAACTGCATTTTAGTTTAGGATTTGTATTTGAGTCTAGACCAATCATTAAAAAACAATGTTAACTTTTCTTTTCTGAAAATGAAAATTGACAAAAATCAATGAAAACTTGTCTACGTTAACTAAATTTCTCATGATTTCATTGATTTTTTTGGTTGAATACAGCTAAACTAACAAAAATGCAGAAGTGACTAGTATGGAATGGGCTTCTGTGAAGAGACAAATAAAGCCCAATAGTTTGTTGGTTCTTTTGAGACCTGTTTATTGTTGTTATATTCACAGAAAGAAGAAGACCAAACAAGAAACAGACAGAGTTGAGTCAGTAGTTCTCTACAATGATCTCTGTCTCTCGATTCTTGTCGCCTCAATTCTACGCAATTCAAAGGTTTATCCGACAAAACAAAACCCAATCTTTTGTTCATTTCTGTAATTGTCGCCAACAAACCAAATTCCTCAATTGTTTCAGGAGCTTCGTGAAAATGTCTGCTTCTGCGACTCAAGCGGCCGGAGAAGTTTCCATGGCGATCAAGCCTCCTTCACATCCCACTTACGATTTGAAAGCCGTTATCAAATTAGCCCTAGCTGAAGATGCTGGTCATACAGGTTCTCTCTCTTCACTTTCTAAAGTTTCGATTTTTAATTTGAAATATTTTGTGAAATTGAGTTTTGAGTGAAGGAGATGTAACGTGTATGGCTACGATACCGTTTGATTTGGAAGTGGAAGCTTATTTCTTGGCCAAGGAAGATGGTATTGTTGCTGGACTTGCTCTTGCTGACATGATTTTTGAACAAGTTGATCCCTCCTTGAAGGTGTTTCCATCTTACTCTTGAACAAGTTGATCCCTCATTTTGAGAAAGGGCTTTGTATGTATTAAGTGATTACTGTTGAATCTCAGATTGAATGGATGCGAAAGGATGGAGATTATGTTCATAAAGGATTGAAGTTTGGAAAAGTCTCAGGGAATGCACATAAGATTGTTGTTGCTGAAAGAGTTGTGCTCAACTTTATGCAGAGGATGAGCGGAATTGCTACCCTTACCAAGGTTTTCTCTTTTTTATTTATCTCTACAGATTCTCTCAAGCATTTTCTAGTGATTGGTGTGGTTGCATTCGTATTAACTTAGTGGGCTTATATCTATACTGAGAAGGCTTTGTTGGCTTAGTACATGCTTTATGGTAATTCACCGATATCCATTTCTTATTTTGTTCTATAGTGCAGTGTATAGTAGTAAAATTGTGTCCATCTAATTGGTTATTGTCTGTTTCTGAATTCTATGGAGGTTCATGATTCTCTTTGTTATCTCAAATTGATGTTGGAGAGTTTACCTGATGAGTCTGTTTTGTGCAGTTAATGGCAGATGCTGCATCCCCTGCACGTATACTGGAGACAAGAAAAACTGCTCCTGGTTTGCGGTTGGTAGATAAATGGGCGGTACGTTCCAAACATGTTTTACCTATTTCAAACCCAAATATTGGGACGCATTTGTTGCTATTTTTGTCTCATCTTTGGAACATTAAGATTCTGAGATTATTATTTCTTGATACACCTCAAGTTTTCTTGCTTAGCTTAGGTGCTGATTGGTGGAGGGAGGAATCATAGGATGGGGTTATTTGATATGGTGATGATCAAAGATAACCATATCTCAGCTGCAGGAGGTATAGTAAATGCCATCAAATCCGTTGACGAATATCTAAAGCAAAAGAATCTCGAAATGGATGTAGAGGTAACTAATTTAAAGCTCTGAAACCCTTTTGTGGCTGAAAATTAGACGCGAAACAAGTTTTCATCACTATCTATTTTTACTTAAAGGTGGAGACGCGAACACTTGAGGAAGTGAAGGAAGTGTTAGAGTATGTTAGTGGATCCGAGACTCGGTTGACGAGAATAATGCTGGATAATATGGTTGTGCCATTAGAGAATGGAGACGTCGATGTCACAATGCTTAAAGATGCGGTAGAGCTAATCAACGGGAGATTCGAGACAGAGGTCTGTGTGTGTGTTAGAAAGAGAGAACAGTTTTCTTTAAGTTAAACTTTCTGATGGAAGACACTAATCTCATGATGTAGGCATCAGGCAATGTTACCCTTGAGACAGTACACAAGATCGGACAGAGTGGAGTTACATTCATTAGCAGGTAAATATTCTTTCAAACCTGTTTGATACAAGTTTTGGTTCTTGGGGCAGATGAAAAAAAACTGAAAGAATATATGAATGCAGTGGAGCTCTTACGCATTCGGTGAAAGCGCTAGACATATCTCTGAAGATCGATACAGAGTTGGCTCTCGAGGTGGGAAGAAGGACTAAACGAGCATAGAGAGCATCGTCCTCCTCGTATTAATTCTTACTTGCTTTCTTTTTATTCCCGGGAAACATATAATCAATAAGGAGAGACAAACGAATGAATCTGCCTATAATAATAACTAATGTTTCTTCTACAAATGTAATAATAATAATAAAGTCTTTTGAGAATAATAATAGAGTGGAGACATGGATGAATATTGAATAAGCTTTCTCTCAAACTTTCTGCGTTTTTTATGTACATACATTTGCAGAAACGTTGGGAAGCACTCTCTATTCTCTAATATATATATATATATATATATATATATATATATATATATATATATATATATATTTATTTATTTATTGGTTCAAGCTACAGTGATCTCGCTTCCTCCTCTTTCCGCCATGAAACTCACTCGTTTCTGCAACATCAATAATAATAATATATCAATAACATTGTTGTAGAATGGAATTTAAATGATTTTTTAAGGAAAGAATCAAAAGTTGTGTAATAATTTTGTGCTATATCTGGAAACAGTATAAAAGTGTTTAAGTACCAGCATGCAAATTTTGACCACAACAAAGTTCCTTTAAAAAGTGAATTTTTTCAACACAGCGTAATATTATTAAAGTCAAAACTCGCGAAATCCACTCTGATCTAATCAAAATATTTCTCCTTATTTACTTTGTACACAAAAAAAACAAACAAATGGATGAGAAAAATATACCAGACGGGATTTGACTCCTCTTGTGGCGGCGGCAGTGACGGTGGTAGCGGGCACGTCCTCCCGCGTGTTCTGATGTGCCTCCTCTTGCCTCTGTTTGGCCATAAAGAGAGCAGCGATCTTTTGGGTGGCTTCGGCTTCGGTGGCTCCTTCCTTGACGAGTCTTTCAAGCTCCGCCTTGGGAATCCTCACCTTCACCCTCCTCACCGCTCCTTCTTCTTCCTCCGTCGTCCATCCTCCTGCTTGTTTGAGTATGGAGAGATCGGAAGAGGATCTCCGGGCAAGCATGAGACTCTCAAGCCTCTCCTTGGCACTCACGTGGATTCCCGATCTTACCCTTCTCGGTGGACACTCTTTCACCGGCTCTACCACGAAATATAGCCGCTTCGCCTCCAACCTCTGCCTCGCCTGCACACCCAAACAACATTAAAACGCTTTGACTATCAAAACATGATTCGTATAATTTAACAAGAAACATAACATATATATATATATATATATATATATATATATATAGTTTGATATAAAAAAAAAATACCTCAAGTGGTTTGGCTCGAGCACCGTAGTGCTTGACGGATTCGGAGTCTAACAAAACGTGGCCGGGGAAGTCTTGCAAGACCTCCTCCGCCGTCACCGGAGTTTTCAGTTTAAAAGTCTCGCCGTCTATCTTCATGACTTTGGTCGTTTTCTTGCCGCCTAAACTATTACCCATCTATGCACCCCTAATTAATTTCTCTCCCACAGAAAAAAAGTGGATAAAGTTTTAGGAACCTTGAATTGAGGGCAGTGAGACAATAGCTCGTTGGGGTTTTAAATGATGGGGTTCGCAGACATGTGCATATGGGGTAAGAGAGATTGTAGATACGTGGAAAAGCTGGTCCATTTTTTTTTTTTAATTACTTAATTAATGGACAAACCTTTTGACTACGACGATACGATTTCAAGCCTAATTATTTTTAATCATGATGACTTTTTTAATTGATATTTTGAATTCTCTCAAATTGTACAACTACTATTCAACAAGATTGTACTTGTGTGAATCACCAGCTGCAACTATTAAGTTCATGTTTATTTCTTTTTCTTTTTTTTTTTGCTATGAATGTTAATATCATTAAAAATGAAAAGGTTTGGCTTTACAAGTTCATGTTTATTTCAAGAGTAATTAATTTTATATTTCCGTTTTTTTATTTAAACCTTTTTTGTGCCAACGTTGAATTTTTTTATGAATTAAGTAATTGCCTCATCAAATAATGAGCTTCACGAAATAATAAACTAAACAAAGAGGTGATAAAAGAAAATTTATCACCATATATAAAACCCTAAAATTGTTTTAAAAATTTTCAATCGTTCTTTAGCGGTCAATTACGGTTGGTAGCGGTTGGTACCAATCATAGAAATCGCTTCATACCGCTTCGAATCGCTCGAAATCGCTGAATTTTAAAAGCTCCTTCTCGCAAGCGTTTGCGGTTGGTTTAAAAAAGGAAAAAACCTAAAAAAGGAAAATGAACAAATTAAAATATATATTATCAAGTCTTATATATATTCATGTTAATTCTAAAAAGGGAATTTTGCCAAATATGCCACAATATGGGAAAATCCTAGCAAATGTACCACATTTGAAATGGATTTAGCATCCATACCACATTTGGTGTTTGTGTGACAACTCTTGGACGATTTTGCCCTTCTATGTGCGTCAGGTATGTGTCAGGGGAAGAAGCTACAGTAGACGCCGGTTGGGAAACGGAGACAACTTTGTGTCAGAGAAGGACAACTTTGTGTCAGAGAAGGACAACTTTGTCTGAAAGACAACTTTGTGTCAGAGAAGAAGGACAAAACATTGCATTAAATGCAGTTTACATTTACCATAGACAATAATTATGAAATAGAGTGAATGATGTCCCCCAAGAATAAGTCCAGATCTCTTGATTGTCCATCGCCAGATGATGTGGTTTTACCAGCCAGAGATCTGGATTTACTCGGGGACAACTTCTCTTGATTGTCCATCGCCAGATGATGTGGTTTTACCAGCCAGAGATCTGAATTTACTTGGAGATAACTTGATCTTTATTTTATTCCGCCAAAGAGCCGAAGACGAAGATCTGGATTTACTCGGGGACAACTTTGTTTTACCAGAGGGACAAAAACGGTTACCAATACGTTAGCAGAGAGACTGTGGACGACAGAAAATTTGGAGAGTCCCATCAACCCGCAGGGTCTTGTCTCAGTAAGTTGGAGGGTAGAATCGTCTTTTCACATGATAAATGTGGTATGGATGCTAAGTGGGCTCAGAAAATGGTACTGGGCCTAAACTTTTTGAAAAAGTGGTATTGGGGCTAATTTTCCCTTCTAAAAAAAATAATTATTATCTAATTTTAATTTTCTAATATTAATAATTATTTTTGTTTTCAATATAAAATTTATTTGAATAATTATTTATGGTTTTTAATCATTAATCATGTTTTAAAATTTTATACTTTTTCATAATTATAGTTTTTGGTGTTTTTATACATTTTTATAATTATATATTATATTTCTTTTGGTAAAGTTTGGTTTAACCGCTATCGTACCCGCTGATCAACCAGTCGTAAATCTCCCGCAAACGCACCAGTTTTCAACCGCTAAACCAGTCGGTCAAAACGCTAAATAACGCTTGAAACCGCAATCGCCCACTTCCGTAAACTCCCACAACCGCAACCGCAACCGATGCGTTTAAACCAGTGAAGCCCTATATTGAGGGTTCCTTCCCTTATACTAATTTTAAAGGAAAATAATAGTGATAAAAGTGCTAACTTTTGTGGGAAATGGATTCTAGGTTGAAAAAAACAGGACTTTGTAAGCAATTTTCAACTTGACAACATCATGCGAATGCGCGGTACAACTCTTCTACACTTGTGGACCATATTAATGCTTTGATTTGATTGATCTAATACGCATGCATTTAAGCTTCATGGGTTGGTAATTTGCGACCGATAATCATTTGTCTTTTGCTTTTTAATACTGATTGCTACTTTTACGTTGATTACGGGAAATTAACGGTGCATGGTTAAGATAATTACTTATTTTTCCCCTCTACTATCCATCATTTATAATTCAGTTGCACCTTTTTTTTTTCGAATGCCCTACATCTCCTAGAAGCAGGACCCACACCAGATTAAATTCATTTTCTTTGGATAAGAGATTTCTTCCAACGGGCGTCGAACCCAATACTTCTACTTGGAAGATTTATCACTGGGCCAACACAACGTTGTTATTTCAGATGCACCTTTTATGTCAATGAAGTACGAAGTACTTGACAAGTACGAAGTGCAGATTTCACAATATGCATGTCACACTTTATACTTCGGCCACTCGTGTCTAATTTCTTAATTATGGTCCGTCCACTAACGAGATAATTAAAAAGGTAACATGCATATTATTTATTATTTGGTTGTGGACCTAATTGCAAGTGTCGACTGATACTTAACAGATGTTACAAGAAAAGTCCAAAATGATGGTCTCCTTTGCAACTTGGAAAGCAATAAATAATGACATAACAGCTGACACAATATTTCTGCATGTATATCACTAATCACGATTAAATTAATTAAGTAGTTTTTTTTTTCTTTCTAAATCAACATGACAATCCGTACATTATTAAAAGTCAGTCGGAAATATGTAGCTTGAATCATTGTTTTAATGTTTAGGCTCCATTCTTTTGGGAAAAAAATCAAAATCTTACCTTGAATGTGATCATTACATACAATTAAGCGTGGTTGTTTATACATGCTGATTATAAGTCAAGAGTTAAGAAACGTTCAAAGAACGTGGTAAGACCATGAATGTTTTAAAACCAAAAAAAGACCATGAAGGTTACTATCAAACAAATAAAAAAAGAGCATGAGGGACGTTAAACAAGTACGTAACGTAATCACGTTTAAGTGTGATAGCTGCGTGAAAAGCATGGGCCCTTTATATTTGTAACTTGTAGTCTCGCAATATCACTTCCTGCGAAGTTGCCTACCTCGTCCACTAATGACGAATTTACACTTGAATTTTTATCGTCAATATTGGTCAATAATTTAAGTAGATATATTACGATTTATATTTATTCATACGATGTTGCACACAATTTATGTATTAATTAGTAGTATATAAAGATTCCTTATTGACTGATAGATCATATGTACATCGTGGTTCAAATTAAACAGCTCGAAATCACATTATCAAAACGTGCTTTATTCATGTTTGTCAAATTTGTGACTTAGCCGGGGGGAAAAAAATCAATTTCCACGTCCAGCTGCTGTTACTTAAATTTCAAAAGCTTGTTAATCTCCATTGATGACCAATCCGACAACCTAATAAAAAAAGAATGGATTGCGAATGAACCAATCATATGACAAAGAAACCATTTCTATCAATTTGTGATAGATTTAGACTTTAACATGGGCTTCCAACTCAAAACCAATTGGCAATGAGTGGATTGGCCCAATTCTCTTATATACTACTCAAGTCCCTTCCCATCTTTCCAATGTGGGATCTTTCTCCACACGCCCCCTCGAGATAATGGCTCTTCTAGCCATTAATTTCGACAGAATCCATCACGCCCCATCGAGATAATGCTCTTCTAGCTATCTCAACAAAATTGAGCCTTCCTTTGGGCCATCAATTAGTGGGGGTGATCGGGCCACTTTCCGGGCCGGATTAATGGGTCAGCGTATGAACCTGGCTCTGATACCATGATAGATTTAGGCTTTAACATGGACTTCCAACTCAAAACCAATTGGCAATGAGTGGATTGGCCCAATTCTCTTATATACTACTCAAGTCCTTTCCCATCTTTTCAATGTGGGATCTTTCTCCACAATTTGTGACTAGCTAAGAAATTCTCAAACTTGTCTGAAAAGTATACTAAAGGGTTAGTGTGATTTAACGATTTAGAGAATATCTAACAAAAAAAAAAAAAACACACACAACTGAGGGAAGAATTGGCAGCTGAAAAGAGCAAGGAGCCTAGGAAAGAGATTTAGCTATGGGCCTATGGCCCAACCACTAGTCGTTCAATAGTTGTGATTTTAACTAATAACCGGAAAACGTCAAACCAGACCAAAAAGCCGGTACATGTGTTGAGTCAAAATTAGCAAATGTTGATAAGAATCGTTCAAAATCCCCAACCCTTAATTTCCGCCATTTCCCCTAAACTTTCTCCTCTGAAGAAGAAGAAGAAATGACGCACTCCTTCCGACTCTGCCTACCGATTCTACGATGGCGAAACTCCTCGAGACCTTTCCTTGTGTTCCGTCCACCGAACGAGGCCGTGGCATTTTGATCTCCGGCGACCCCAAATCCGACACCATTCTCTACTGCAACGGCCGCTCTGTCTTCATCCGGAGCCTCCGCCAACCCCAAGACGTCCATGTTTACGGTGAACATGGCTATGCTGTCACCGTTGCTCGCTACTCTCCCAACGGCGAGTGGATCGCTTCCGCTGATGTCTCTGGTACCGTTCGCGTTTGGGGAACGCACAACGACTTCGTGCTCAAGAACGAATTCAGAGTCCTCGCTGGTCGGATCGATGATCTCCAATGGTCTTTCGATGGGCTTCGAATTGTTGCTTCCGGCGATGGAAAGGGCAAATCTCTTGTTCGATCCTTCGCGTGAGTTCTCCTCCACTTCTTCTTCTTCGCTGATTTTGAGATTCAATTTCGTGTTGAATGTGATTTAGCGTTTCCTTGAAAATTAGGCTCTAACAATTTAGGTCTCAATGATGACATTCTCTTTGTGTGTTCTGAGATTGGATTACCTGGAAATGCTGGAATGGTCTCTAGGGCTTGATCAATTTGCGTTTGT